AGAGTGTTATTTGCATCATTTATTTTTTGAATGTTGCCCGCCTTGCCAGCAACTGGTGGACAAGCAGTGGGTACTAACTGAAGGTGTGCAGTCTAGCATAGTTGCGCTCGGAGTGTAGGAACATCCTAGTAGCATCATTATAAGGGGAATCCTACACTGATAATGCGAGAGGCCTTGGTCTTGCTATTCTTGATATTTTTGAATCACCAGAAATGAACTTTTTTGTTTGTTAAATTTAGAAAAAAAAGTGTTGATTTTCAAAAGATTTTGTTAATAACCAAAAACACCTTGGGTCGATGGCTTGTAGCTGCCGGTTTCATTAAAATGCAGCCAGCCTACATCAGTTGTAAATATTTTCTGCAGAGCTCAAACTAATTTTCTACTTGCTTCTTAAGCAATTTTGTCTATTTTTCTTTAAGACTTTCGCTGAGAAGCTAGTTTAGCTCCATATGTAAAAGTATGTATGAATTCATTTCTTTCTTTTCTCTTCTCTTCCAGAAGAGTGCCCCAGCGAGGGATGGGTTGCCTGAGAGAATTTATAGCACGGGCCAGGTTTTCTTGAAGAATTTTATACATATATGTCACTGCTTTCACGTGATGCTCACACAGACGCAACGTAGAAATACGAAAATACCTTCTTTTAATTTTTTGCCTCTCTTTGTTACGTTTCTTGGCCTTTCTGTTTTGCATGTTTTTCCGCTCTTTATGCGCTTTTGCTTGTATGCGAATGCAGCAGCGCATACTGTGACGACCCAAGATGTGTGTGTGCGCGTGTCTGAGCATTTCAGCTCGATAACCAAACAAGTTTCGACGCTGAAATTTTACCAATGGGTTCTCTGGCCAAGCACCAACCGAAGGGCGTGATACTAGTCTTCTTGTACGAGCATGTGGAAGCACGAGCTTGTGAAAGCTTGCGTACGAGCATACAGCCTGCGTACGAAAGCTTGCGTACGAAAGTTTTGGCGAGAAAATTGCCCACTGAACAACTAGGTCATTTTTAAAGAATAACTGTTAAATGGGAATTTTTCATTTTTCTTTACGCGAAATGTACGATGATTTACTCGCATGAGTACAAAAGGCAAGTGTAAAGTAACCCAGGCTGGAACGCACCGGGCGGGCCCGTGCGATCATGCGGTTTTGCACCGGACTTGAAGTACTCAGGTCATTAACTGCATAAAAGGCTTTGCTTTACACCTACCTGCTGCGGTCACTAGCATAAATCACCAAAAATTTTGCAAAGTAATGTATAATTTCCATTCAACAGTCGTTCTTTAAAAGTAACCTAGTTGTTCAGTAAGAAATTTTTTCACCAAGATTTTTAAGTGCCCGTACGTAAGAACCACGCATACCTCAAGCTGAATCTGAAATACGTAAACTGTACTTGGACTGAGAACATTCTCCCAAAATTTCAGCTTTCCAGCTTTTCTGATTACCGAGTTAGCGATTTTCCTGCCAAAACCTTCACATACCCGTACTTGGGTCCTCCACGTGTCTGGAAAGCTGAATTAAATTGCACTTGGACAGAGAATACCTCCTTAAAATTTTAGCCTTCTAGCTCTTCTGGTTGCCGAATTAGTAATTTTCCTGCAGAAACTTCCATACGCCCTTACGTGAGTACCTCGCAAAGTACGGGGTTGATTTTGTAACGTTTGAGTTGTACGTGGATGGGGAACATCCCCTCGAAATTTCAAAGTTAGCATTTTTCCCCCTGAAACTTCCATACGCCCTTACGTGAGTACCATGCGTACCAGGGGGCTGAATTTGAAATATTTGAGTAGCGCTTGGATAGGGAACATTCCCCCAAAGTTTCAGCTTTCTAGCCTTCCAAGTACCCGAGTTAGCAATTTTCCCCCTA